AACAAATATGCTTCTGGACATTCGGGGCCTCGCCTGACTCTGCTCATAGGTGGCGTGGCCCCCCAAGCCCAACTGCATTTTCCTTGTACTTCTGTGTCCTGTCTCTTCATTTCTCAGATCCTGTGCCTCAGCACAGCATAAGGGACACCCCATGACCCTGTGAGGCCCTCAGCCCTATATCTGCAGGCCTCCTGCTCTTCCAGAACTGGGGGTTGCTGTTGAGAGGAGCCTGCTCCCTCCTGGAGCCTGACTGCATGATTGTCTCAGCGGAGATGCCACAGGATGTCCCAGGTGTGCCCAGAGGGAACAATATCAGCCAGCCTCTGCCAGGAGTACTCGGGTGAACTAGTTCCACGCCTGTCCAGTCCTTCCCCTGGAACCGGTGTCTTCCCCTGACTTCCAGGCACCCTCCATCCTCGCCTCATCTTCCTTCTGCTACGGGGCTGATGGCTGTTACTTCTCTCTCCTCCCTACGCCTCCTAAGGGGGTACCTTGGGGTCCAGTGCCTGCAGCCTCTCCTCTGCCCTGTCCACACTCAGCCTGGCATCTCACAGTCTCAGGATCCAGTGCCCACAGCCTCTCCTCTGCCCTGTCCACACTCAGCCTGGCATCTCACAGTCTCAGGATCCAGTGCCCACAGCCTCTCCTCTGCCCTGTCCACACTCAACCCAGCATCTCATCAGCCTCATGGCTTCCACGCCTATCTCTCACTGGCCTGGGTGCCTTCTGTGGTTCCAGCCTCTCACACCCACCTGTCCACTCAACGCCTCTCCCGGATGCCAGTGAGCATCTCAAACTTCTCAGGACTTTCCTATTTGGGGATCTCCTGGGGATTGTTCGGGGATTCCCACTCCCCATTTCTAGGGTCTTCTCATCTGATTCCTCTGACGTGGATTAATGCATCTGCAGGAGCTATCCTAATAAATTGAAAAAGTTATCCCAAATTGGCAATCTTGGCCGGTTGTGTCAGTTCACTCCTGTAATCCCAGCACTTTGAGAGGCTGAGGCAGGTAGTTCGCCTGAGGTCAGGAGTTTGAGATTAGCCTGGCCAACAGGGTGAAACCCTGTCTCTACTAAAAATACAAAAAAGTAGCCAGGCATGGTGGTGGGCGCCTGTAATCCCAGCTACTCGGGAGGTTGAGGTGGAGAATTGCTTGAACCTGGGAGGTGGAGTAAGCCAAGATCACACCATTGCACTCCAGCCTGGGTGACAGAGCGAGACTCCATCTCAAAAAAGAAAAAAAAAAGAAATGAAGTTAGCAATCCACATTTGCATGCCAACGTTGACTCTGCTGGTGGGATTTAAATAGTTAAGTTGGACGTTTTCTCCTTCAATATTTTGCCTATTAATTTGCTTCAAACTGTTCTCTCAGTCATCACAAAGGCAAAAACCAGCATTGGGAAAGCCCCAAAATCATAAAGCCCAATTGACGAGACGTTGGTCCACTCTGACCTCAGCACTGACCGGGACACAGCCAGGCAGAGGGAGGAAGCAGCTGTCTACCTGGCCGGTCACCTGACACAGCCCCTTCTGCGGCCTGAACCAGATGCACCATGTGAGGCCACCAGAGTGTGGCAACGCCGAGATGCTGGATCAGTCTTACCTGAAGGCACTGGAACATTGTGATTATGGGGCAGGACCAGCCTGGGCAACACGGTGAGGTTCCACTTCTAAACAAGAACAAAACGGCCAATTCCTTAGAAAAAATCTCAGGCTGGGCATGGTGGCTCACGCCTGTAATCCCAGCACTTTGGGAGTCTCCTAACTGTGAGGGTTTCTAGCTTTGCAGCCAAACACGTAATCCCTGACAGAGGCCAGTGAACCGTCTTCGGAGAGCGTGTGTGTGGGCTACACACCCATTCCCCATCTCTATGAGCTTATTCCCACTTAGCATGCGTTACCTTTCCTCTGTGGCTGATTCTCTTTACCTTGAAATGGAGCTTTTTTTCCCATTTCACTGCTTTCCACACATCTGCCCCTGAAGCAGCTCTAATGCCCTGTTGACACCACGTCTCCACTTTCCTGTCGTGGAAACACGTGACTCTTAACTCTGGCTCTGCTTTTTGTGCCTCGGTTAAAAAGGCACAGCCAGCCACCGACCCAAAACCCTGCTTCTTCCTTAAGAAAGGGAGTGTGTGAGCGGCGGAGGGCTGGGGGCTCAGCCAGAGGCCGAGTCATCTACAGAAAACATCTGGGCGGGGAGTCGCCCTGTGGGCTCAGGCTGGGGAATGATTTCCTGGTTTGAGGTGTGAGAGGGTTCAGTGCCTCTCCCTGGGGCAAGAAAATTCAGTGGAGGAGGGAAGGAAGGGTTAGAGAGTGACTTGGAGTTATCCCCTTTCAGTTTGCAGGTAAAATGAGGGGCCCATTTAAAGTTACCATGTGGCAGCTCAATTATGCCTTTTTAAAAAATACATTATTTTGAGATGGCGTCTCCCTCTGTCGCCCAGGCTGGAGTGCAATGATGCGATCTCGGCTCACTGCAACCTCCGTCTTCCGGGGTCAAGCACTTCCCCTGCCTCAGTCTCCTGAGTAGCAGGAGCTACAGGAATGAGCCACCATGCCCTGCTAATTTTTTATATTTTTAGTAGAGATGGGATTTCACCATGCTGGCCAGGCTGTTCTCGAACTCCTGACCTCATGGTCCAGCTCTCTCCGCCTCCCAGAGTGCTGGGATTATGCACATGAGCCACCAAGCCTGGCCCTGGATTATGCCCTTTTGAAGGGACCTCAGCAAGCACTGAATGCCATGGGGTCTAGAGCTTATTTGGGTAACTTTACATCGACAAGAAAATCTATCTGGAGAAATTCACACCCGCCATGGCACTTACTCAACTCTCAGGCTGCAGAGGGTGCGAGGAGTCGCTGACCTCTGACCCCCTTGGTGCTTGGTTCTGTTTCTCTTTTGAGGACTGTGGAGACACCCCACCCCATGTACACCCCCTGCCCCAGGGCCCACTTCGTAGCACCGGGCTCCTGAGCACTTAGCATGCAGTAAATCACCGCGGGTATTGTTGGAATAAAGGCTCTTCACCAGGAGGTCTAGGGAGCCCAGGATTCTGCATTTCTTTTCTTCTTTTTTGAGACAGGGTCTTGCTCTGTTGCCCAGGCTGGAGTGCAGTGGTGCAATCACAGCTCACAGCAGCCTTGACCTGACGGCTTAAGTGATCCTCCCACCTCAGCTTCCCAAAGAGCTGGGTTACAGGCATGAGCCGCCACACCTGCAATCTTTTCTGATTTTAGATTCTTGAACTGTACGTCTTCAGTTCAGCAACCCTCATCTGAAAATCCAGACTCTGAAATGCAAAATCTTCTGAGGGGCATTTCCTGTGAGCTCACGCCACTGCTCAGAATGGTTCGGATTTCGGAGCGTTCTGAGTTTGGAGTTTTGCATGAGGGTGCTCTGCCTGTGCATGCCGGGAACCCTTCCAGCTGCTGGGGAAGTCGCTGAAAACCAGAGGACACATCCCCGCTGCCTCAGATTCCTGTGTGGACAGGGTGGACGGGAAGCAAAGGTGTGCATGAGATCACACCAGACGCATGGAGCGAGATCCCAGCTCGTGGAGAGCCAGGAGGAGCAGGGGTGGAAGGGCTGGCGGTGGGAGAGCTCCAGGTGTCTGCAGCTACGGCTTGGGCAGCACAGTGGGGGCCAGAGGGGAAGCTGGGCAGGCCCCCAGGCTCTGCAGGCCCCGTCCCGGGCTTTGCCCTGAGAGCAGGAAGGCGCTGTGGGTGTCAGCATCAGGCGTTGGTTCTGGCTCCAGCTGGGCAGGACGCTGGGCCATGGGAGGAGGGAACAGGTCGAGGCCGGGGCGGTGCTGAAATGTGTGCCCATCAGCTTTGCCATGTGTCCCACAGAGCTGGGTCCTGCCGTCCCTGACTCTGTGGACCGTGGAGGACACCGTGGACACCGACTCTGTGGACACCGTGGCTTTAGCCCCGAGGCTGGCTCCTGAACGACCCAAGACCTCTGCCTGGTTCTTGGAGCCGCTGCACTGGGGGGTTAGCCACTGCCTAAAGATTCTGACCCCAGGACCACCATGGGGAGACCTGGGGGAGATCCCCACCGAGCCAGGAGTGGCTACATCCAGTCCAGTCACCCTCATGGGACACAGCCCTGGCTGGCGGCACATCCACAGTCAGTCGTGTTTCCAGAGATGGCCCCCGCTGTGTCCTCACCTGTTCCTCCAGACCTGGGAACCCGGGACCTGCACCCCCTACCTGGAGGTGGCCCCTGCCCTGGGCTCAAAGCCTGGCAAGCTGTGGGGCACCCGTAACCAGGAGCCCTTCTCACTATCGAGGATGGAGGAGCCGTCGCTAAGCTCCAGTGGGTCCTTTGCAGCCGGCAGCTAGGACACTCAGGTCCCCGGGTAAGGGGGCCTCTCTGCGCAGCCAGGACAGAGGTGCTGACCAGGTTTCCCGGGCTCTGGGGCCCAGCTGCAAGGGTGGTCCTGCCTGGGAGGCCTGCCCAGCTGCCCCCCACTGGCCTTAATTGCCAGGCTGGCCTGACATCCTTGTAGAGAACAATCAAGCCGTCCTCGCAGCCGGTCGGTGGTGATGGAGACAGCAGACCTGGCTACAGAGAAGCGCAGTGAATACGTCCTCCCCTTGAAAACGCCGGGGCTCCTCAGTGAACTCGGGCCCTGGGTGAAATATAACTTAAGCTGCAGAAGAGAGAAAACATCGGGAAGCAAGTCTGTTCCCTCCTCTGGACACTCCTGCCTGGTCCCCAGGGATGCCGTGGTGACTGGATTCTCACACACCACAGCCCACAGCCCCGTCCTCCAGTGGAGTGGGAGCCGCGCCCTCCCCGGCCTGGCTGTGGCCTTGCCTTTGGGAGAGGGTCCCGGGTGTGCTTGCTGCAGTGAGGGTGGGGGCCCTGACTTCCTGGACAAGGGGACGTCCTTCCCCAGAGGCCACCACCGTCAACCTGCACTGTCCTCTCAGGGGCCCGGTGGGGACCCTGGACAAATGGCTGCGGCATCCTCTGTGGCCTGAGGATGGGTCAGCGGGCAGCAGCTCCACAGGCCTGGGACACTTGCTGCGACCCCAGGTCCCGGGGGGCAGAGCCGGCACTGTGGTTCACCCGAGGTGCTGCTGTCTCAGGGCTGTGGAACGGGATGGCCTTAGCAGAGGATGGACACGGCAGGCCGGGGAGCACCAGGAGGCCGAGTCTGTGCCCGCACAGCCGGGGAGGCACTTCTGGGCAGGGACAGATCCCTCTCAGGCAGAGGCCCAGCTGTCCTGTGTGGGGAGCTTCCCTGACTCACCTTCCCCACAGGTAGCTCCAGCTTCCTGGCACCCCTCCTCCCGCAGAGACACTGGAGGCACATGGGGAACGCACCCAGTATAGTGAAAAATCTTATTTTCCCAAACTCCACAGAAACATCAACTGTGTGTGTGTCAGAGTCAGTTGGGGGCAGATGCCACACAACATGGGCACAGGGTATCAAAGGTGACGGGTCACCCGCTGGTTCCAGGAGGGGCAGCTGGAGCCCAGCAGGCACCCAGAGCTTCAGGCGGCCCCTAGGGTGGACGCAGCTGACCTCCAGATTTTATGACTTTATTACTCAGAAAACACAGAGGGATGAGACACACCCGCTCGTCCAGCCGGGAGCCTTTATTCCCACTTGACCAGGCCCCGCGCTGCAGAACACATGGCGCCACCGGCTGCTCTTCGCCGCTTAATTCCACACATTTCCGAGCCCCAGGAAGAGCAGCACGAACCCGAGCGAAGCTTCCACGGGAACCACCCCCGGCACACGCGGTCCAGCGTGAGGTTCCCAGGGCCCAGGCCGGTTCCCCGCACCCAGGTTCCAGCTCAGTCACTTAATGAGAAGCCGGAGCCGAGGAAACGGTCGGGGTCGGGGCCCGGAGCAGCCGCAGAAGAGGAAGTGAACCTGGCCACAGCATCTCCGTGCCAGCCCCGTGGGGGCGGACAGCACCCGGAGGCTGACACCCTCACTCAGCTCCCTCCCGAGACGGACGCCTGACACCTCTGCCATGCACCTGCTGCTGCTCCCAGCACCCACAACAGGGCCTGGTGGGGCCCAAGAGCTCTAAAGAAAGGGTCTGGGGCGTTTCACCCCAGACGGGAGCTCTGGGCTCCAGCAAACACACTCACACCCCCACAGCGTTTTCGCTACTGGCAACCTGGCCTTGCCCTGCCCCCACGGCTCCACACCGCATATCTCCTGGATTTTCCGTCAGGCTCAGCCAAGGTCAGGGGAGGGAGAGGAGAAGCCGGGCCGGTCCTCCTCCAACACATCCAACCCCAGTTTCCAGGGGGCTGGTCCCAGGTCCCCTTTCCACAGCCCCCCAGGCTCTGCTTGTCTCCAACCCAGTGCCCACACCCTACAGAGTCAGTGCCCAGCCCAGGGGCCTTCTCTGTGGCCCCCACTTTATGAGATGGACGGTGAGGTGAGGCCTCTCGAAGAGGGTGCTCAGGTGCTCTGCCCTCACCGTGGGTTCACAGCCCACCTCTCACGGCTGTGGTCCTGGCCTGGTCGCTGGCGCTCCATGTGACTTCGCTGTGGTGCCCTGGAGGAAGCTGAGCCTCCCACCCAGACTCAGCAGGGGCAGGCACCGGGCCAGGATCACGGAGCAGCGGATGCAGCGGTGGGGACTGTCCTCCCTCAGCTGGATGCAGCACTGGCTCTTACGGTCGCTGTGGCTGCTGCAGAAGTCGCCGTCTGGCTGAGGATGCCGGTGGGCAGAAGCCGTGGAGAGGAGCCGTCTCCAGTGCCCCCAGCCTCCATCTGCCCGGGTGCCCGAAGCTCACCTGCCCTCATCCACCCCGGGTGCCTGCAGCTCACCTTGCGCCGGGGCACGCACTGAAGGAAGATGGTCTGGGCATGCAGAACTTCTGAGGACTATAGTTGCTGCGGAAGCAGCTGTACCCGTTGGGCTACGGGACAGGAGATGACTTGTCCCAGCACCCGCCACCCACTCCCTGGCTCTTCCAGGGCAGGAAGGAGGGGTCACCGGCGGTCTCGCTCCTCCGCCCCACCCCCCGCCATGCACCTTCCGCCAGAGCAGGCACCTCAGTAGGATGGTCTTGGGGTTGCAGTGCTTGCTGGGGTCCAGGCTGTTGGTGGTACAGCAGGTGCTCTGGCACTCCTCGTTGCTCCTGCATTCCTCCCTGACGCCCACTCACTGGCTCACTCACCTGCGGCGCTCGGGAGGGGCCTCCCCTTCCCTGCTCCCCTGTGTCACCATCCTTCACACTTGGGTTCCCTGAGAAGTTTCTGGAACAAACCCAGACCTCGGTGGCTCTGGAGGGTCTGTGCTGGGGGCCCGGGCCAAGAAAGGGAAGGCCTGCCAGGAGCCACGTGGATGAGGGTAAACCAAGGCACCAAGGGCAGGGACGCAGCAGCAGAGTGAAGCTCTAGGGCAGCCCAGTGCCCGGCATCTTACAGGAGAAGAAACAGGCTCAGAGAGGGTGAGCAAGGCACCTGGGGTGGCACAGCCAGCAGAGGCGAGCCGAGAGCCAGGCCTACCCCTGCGACCACAGCTTGTACCCACCCCCCAACCACATACAGAGAAGGCGCCGCGTGCGTGTGACCCTGGTCTCGTGGCTGTGTCTACTGACATTACCGCTTTCAACCCTAATTCTGAATTTTAAGATAATGACAGTAATCCCATTGCCGGTTAATATAAATAACAACATTTTATTTAAAATGGGTTTACTTTCTGGCCGGGCGCAGTGGCTTATGCCTGTAATCCCAGCATTTTGGGAGGTTGATGCAGGCGGATCAGGAGGTCAGGAGTTTGAGACCAGCCTGGCCAACATGACAAAACCCCGTCTCTACTAAAAATACGAAGTGTAGCTGGGTGCGGTGGCCCATGCCTGCCATCTCAGCTACTCGGGAGGCTGAGGCGGGAGAATTGCTTGAACTCAAGAACGTGGGAGACGGAGGCTGCAGTGAGCTGCGATTGTGCCACTGCACTCCAGCCTGGGGGACAGAGTGAGGCTCCATCTAAAATAAAATTAATAAATTAACAAAATAAAAAGGAAAAACGGGCACATTTTCAAAAACAAGTGCAGCTCCCACATGGCCGTGCTCCTTCCTGCCTGGCTGGCGGCTGTGGCCCCAGGGCTGCTCTGCGTGCTGGTGCCACCCCATAGCCTCAGGTGTGCTCGGACAGCACAGCGGGGGTGTGGCCAGGAAGGTGAGTGTGGCTTCGGGGAGGCCTTCACCCGGGAAGGCACTTCATGTGACTTTGAGAGCCCACTGACAGAAGGTGGCAGCCCCGGGGTGCAGGGCCTGTAGGGGCATCAGGGGAGGCTGGCACCCACCTTGTGGGACAGGTACACCTGCTTCTTCCACGGCCTGTCCTCCGCCAAGGACCCCAGCAGCAGCAGCAACATCCACACTGGGCCGGCCATCGGGCACGTGTGCCTGCAGAGACCCAGGGTCCCGTGGGAGTGTGTCCACCCAGCCTCCGAGACCCAGGGTCCCGTGGGAGTGTGTCCACGCCAGCCTCCGAGACCCAGGGTCCCGTGGGAGTGTGTCCACGCCAGCCTCCGAGACCCAGGGTCCCGTGGGAGTGTGTCCACGCCAGCCTTGTCCTGCCCAGCACCTGGCACTGGCATCCCTGCTCCCTTCCCTTCCCTTCCTGCTCTTTTGCAAGATAGACTTTTTTAAAAAATGGACTTTATTTTCTAGAGCAGTTTTAGGTTTACAAAAAATGTGCAGAAAATAGAATTCTCATATGCCCACCTTCTTTCCCCTGCCTCAGTTTCCCCTATTATAAACATGCTACACTCGTGTGGTGCATTTGTCACCATTGATAGACACGCAGGGACTTGCTGTCATCACCCGGAGCCCACAGCTCACTGTGGGAGACTCGAGTGTGCCTGCTTCTGGTCCGGGAGTCCACGGCTCAGGGCGGGGTGGCTCAGGTGTGCCTGTTGCAGGTCTGGGAGTCCATGGCTCACTGTGGGAGGCTCAGGTGTGCCTGTTGCAGGTCTGGGAGTCCACGGCTCACTGTGGGAGGCTCGAGTGTGCCTGCTTCGGGTCTGGGAGTCCACGGCTCAGGGCGGGGTGGCTCAGGTGTGCCTGCTGTGGGTCTGGGAGTCCACGGCTCCCTGTGGGAGGCTCAGGTGCGCCTGTTGCGGGTCTGGGAGTCCATGGCTCACTGTGGGAGGCTCAGGTGTGCCTGCTGTGGGTCTGGGAGTCCACGGCTCCCTGTGGGAGGCTCAGGTGTGCCGGCTGTGGGTCTGGGAGTCCACGGCTCCCTGTGGGAGGCTCAGGTGTGCCTGTTGCAGGTCTGGGAGTCCATGGCTCACTGTGGGAGGCTCAGGTGTGCCTGCTGCGGGTCTGGGAGTCCATGGCTCAGGGCGGGGTGGCTCAGGTGCGCCTGCTCTGGGTCTGGGTCAATGTGTTCTCCCGGAACCATCTCAATATCCTGCAGAGTGGATCTGATGCCCTAGAAATCCTCGGTGCCCGTCTATTCGCTCCTCCCTCCCCCGGCTGCTGACGACAGCCGAGCTTCTCACTGTCTGCACAGTTTTGCCTTTTCCAGGACGCGGTTTGGTTAGAATCAGTCTGCAGTCTTTTCGGGTCAGCTCATTTCACTGAGTAAAGGGCAATTTAAGGTTCCTGCTTGGCTTTTCGTCGCATAGTCACTCATTTCGTTTTAGTACTGAGTGGAAAATGGATTTTTTTTAACACGATGGATTTTGGCCTTTTTCGCCACCTGACCGCTGCCCTTGCGAGTCGCATGCCTGCTCCCGGGAAGGGCCTGTCCCAGTCAGCTTTGCCCTGTCGCCGCAGCGTCCCCCCGTGGCTGAAGTTGACATCCGCGACGTGAAGGAGCAGATTTACAATCGGGCCTGACTCCTTCACAGATGGTTGTGACCCTGAGAGGTGCACAGGCAGACACAATCTTAGGAATTCTGAAGTCTAAGGGACTGGCCCTGACCTCCCCGAAGATCGCTACCATTTAACTAAGAAAGCAGCCGCCGTTCAAAAGCATCTTGAGAGGAACGGAAAGGATAAGGGTGCGAAATTCTGTCTGATTCTGATAGTCGGATTCACCGTTTGGCTCAATATTATAAGACTGAGCGAGTCCTCCCTCCCGACTGGAAATATGACTCATCTGCAGCCTCTGCCCTGGTCACATAAATCTATGTACTCAAGCACTAAAATAATTGTTTAACCACAAAGAAAAGGATTTTGAAGAAAGCTTTTCCCAGCGGACGACGGTGCCCTGATGAATTTGAACATAAGCACCTGCCGTGAGCAGGAGCTGGAGCCTTGCACTGGGGTCCTCCTGGAGGGGCTCCTGCTGCCCAGCCCCGAAGCCACGAGGGCATCGGACGAGGCGGTCAGCGGCCAGGCCATGCTCACTGTGAGCTCATGCCCGACGGCACTGCCCCACCACAGCAAGCAGTTCTGGGTGCTGCCCAATTCACAGATCTTTGCTCAAACTGTTAAAATCATTTTGTCTGAAGTTTTTCTTTTAACAGGAGGTCACCGTTGGGCTTCACGACTCACTTTTGTCCTGCGAGAATGAACACACAGACACTGCACAGGCCACACGCAGACACGAGCCCTGGTGCATTCGTGGTGGATGGCCACGGGGAAAGGAGGGGCTCTGGCCGCACGTCTCCACCAGCCCCAGGTGGCCAGGACTCAGTTGGTGACCCCACTTCCGACTCAAGACCAGCCAGAGGAACCCAAATATACCCCCATCCCTGGGCTGCTCACCCCCCCGCGCCCACTGCAGGGACAGCCCAGCCCCAGCATGGCTGCACCACACGGCAGTCCCCGAAGAGGGTCAGGAACTGGAGGGGCAGCGGAAGGGGCAGAGGAATGGATTTACTTCCCTCACGGGAAGTCAAAGGTCAAAGGTCTCGGGTGCCCCTCGTCCCTGATCCCGGAGCCCCAGACAACTGAGTCATGTCAGCGCTTTCCAGATGAATGGACATCAGAGCAAACCTATCAGTGGCACTTTCTTTAGAGAAGGGATCTCGCTCTGCTGCCCAGGCTGGAGTACAGTGTCACAGCCACAGCTCATACAGCCTCAACCTCCTGGGCTCAAGTGATCCTCCCAACTCGGCCTCCTGAGGAGCTGGAACGGCAGGTGTGAGCCATTGTGCCCAATTTTAAACATAATTTTTCATGTAACTACATAAAAGCAAAATGGAATCACAACCAGAACATTTTTAAACTTCAAACTTGCAGTATCCTTTCTGTACCTGGAACCAGGAAACGTTCTGTCCTGCTCTCAACCCGTTTCACGCGGCCTTGAAAAGTTCCCAGGCCTGGTTTCCAAACTGAGCACGATGTACCCGACAGATCAAACGGCCCCGCTCAGCTCAGGAACAGGCAGCAGCCTGCACGGGGAAGGGCCGGTGTCTAAAAGGTCACAGGTCACCACCACTCACAGTGGCCCGAAGGTGGAGGAGTGAAGAACACAGCGGGATGTGTGTGTGCAGAGGGACGTCGGTCGCCCGGAAATGGACGGCAGCTCAGACCCAGGTGCGGCACAGTCGGCCAAGGGCCGGATGCTGAGGGAACAAGCCCCTCACAGAAGCTCAAATGCCACTGGATCCCACGTGTGGGGTCCCTAGAGTCGCCAAACCCATAGAGACAGGCAGTGCAATGGTGGTGCCCGGGGCTGGAGTGGGGGCAGTGGTGTTTAATGGGGTGTGTGGGGCTGGGGTGGGGGGAGTGGCGTTTAATGGGGCGTGCGGGGCTGCAGTGGGGGGAGTGGTGTTTAATGGGGTGTGCGGGGCTGGAGTGGGGTTGTGGTGTTTAATGGGGCGTGCGGGGCTGCAGTGGGGGGAGCGGTGTTTAATGGGGTGTGCAGGGCTGCAGTGGGGGGAGTGGTGTTTAATGGGGTGTGTGGGGCTGGGGTGGGGGGAGTGGTGTTTAATGGGGCGTGCGGGGCTGCAGTGGGGGGAGCGGCGTTTAATGGGGTGTGCGGGGCTGCAGTGGGGGGAGTGGTGTTTAATGGGGTGTGTGGGGCTGGGGTGGGGGGAGTGGTGTTTAATGGGGTGTGCGGGGATGGAGTGGGGTTGTGGTGTTTAATGGGGCGTGTGGGGCTGCAGTGGGGGGAGTGGCGTTTAATGGGGCGTGCGGGGCTGCAGTGGGGGGAGTGGCGTTTAATGGGGTGTGCGGGGCTGGAGTGGGGGAAGTGGTGTTTAATGGGGTGTGTGGGGCTGGAGTGGGGTTGTGGTGTTTAATGGGGTCCAATCTACGTTTGGGGAGACATCAAGTTCTGGAGATGAAAGCGTTGACCGTTCTACAGCTGTATAAATGTGCTTCATGCCACTGAACAGTGCACTTAAAAATCATTAAAATGGGGGGCCGGGCACAGTGGCTCACACCTGTAACCCCAACACTTTGGGAGGCCGAGGCCGGCAGATCACTTGAAGTCAGGAGCTCGAGACCATCCTGGCCAACACGGTGAAACCCCATCTCTACTAAAAATACAAACATTAGCTGGGCATAGTGGTGGGTGCCTGTAATTCCAGCTACTCAGGAGACTGAGGCAGGAGAATCTCTTGAACCCTGGAGGCGGAGGTTGCAGTGAGCAGAGATTGCACCACAGCACTCCAGCCTGGGCGACAGAGCAAGACTCCGTCTCAAGAAAACATTGTGAAAATGGTCAACTTTATGTTAAGTGTATTTCCCGGTGATAAAGGCAAAGGTTGCAGACCTCACAAGTGTCCTGGAGGTGCTGCTGCCCCGGGGGGAAGCTTATTATTTGCAAGTGTTTTACACGTGGGGGGGCTCTATTCCAGGGCCTTTGCTTAGAAATCTCTGGAATCAGATACTTCTTCAGTTTCCTGCAGTTGTCAGTATCTAGCTTGTTTCCACAGCAGCTCAAGCGGCTATGTGGAAAGCTTGATGCTAAACCTGGTCAAAGACATGACAAACCCCCAAGAATCACCTGCAGAACCACAGCTTCATGCTTAAGGATAAGCCGCTGGGGTTGCTGCTAGAACCCCTGATCCGACTCTTCTGCCCTCCTCTGCAGGGGCCCAGGAGGGCTGGGCCGGGCACCTGGTGGATGGGGTCATCCCCACAGAGCACCCCGACCGAGGGCAGAGCCAGCTGCGCTGCAGGGTCGACCCTGGGCTCTCGGCCGCGTGTGCCCTGTCGGGAGCCACACCCAGAAAACAGCGTGCGGGTGGCTCACGAGACGGGGCATCCCTTGCTGAAAACGTCCCCGGTGGCTGACAGCTGCTGGCACGTTGGGCGGCCCTACCTGCCTTCCTCAGGTCCCACCGGCTCCTCTGTGCAGAGGTGAGGCGGCCAGGCTGCAGCTCCCAGACCAGACGCCAGCCCCAAAGCAGAGGTGTACACAGAGTGGGGCTGGGCAGCCCGGCAGCACCCTGGCACAGTCGCAGCCCCGTCTCTTCTTTCTCCTTCC